TTACCATCATCATCATCAGCATCATCACCATGGCAAGCGCCGTCATCAACGCTTGTCTAGTCAGTTGTGCGCCATCATCGGCTTTCTGTTTATGGCGATGTCAAGGGTCATACCAACAGTAGTAGTAGTAGAAGTAGTAGTAGTAGTCGTTGTAGTCGTGTTAGTCGTGGTGGTGGTGGTGTTAGAAGTAGTAGTGGTAGTAGTAGTAGTAGTAGTAGTAGTAGTCGTAGGCGTGGTAGTGGTAGTAGTAGTAGTAGTAGAAGTAGTAGGAGGAGGAGGAGGAGTAGGAGTAGTAGGAGCAGGAGTAGTAGGAGTAGTAGTAGGAGTAGTAGTAGGAGTAGTAGTAGGAGTAGTAGTAGTAGTAGTAGTAGTAGTAGTGGTGGTGGTGGTGGTGGTGGTGGTGGTGGTGGTGGTATTAGCAGTAGTAGTAGTAGTAGTAGTAGTAGTAGTTGTTGTTGTTGTTGTTGTTGTTGTTGTTGTTGTTGTTGTTGTTGTAAGAGTAGTGGTAGTAGTAGTAGTAGTAGTAGTAGTAGTAGTAGTAGTTATTGTTCGTAGTCGTCGTCATAGTGGTAGTGGTAGTAGTAGAAGCAGCAGCAGCAGCAGTTGCAGTAGCAAGTCTAGTGTGCTCCTGGGGAAGCTGATCGGCGACTGATCTTCAACGCGTGGACTCAATCTTAGTAGCTCGAAGAGCTTAATACTGTACATGCATGTACGTATGCAGTATGTATGTATGTATGTATGTATGTATGTATGCATGTATGTATGTATGTATGTATGTATGTATGTATGTCAATGTAAGTATGTACGTATGTGCGTATGTATGTGTTGCCCATCTATTGCTTACACAGTAATCTTCTCCGGCTGCATAGGGTAGTGAAGCAATCACACAAGCTAGCATCTACCATTTTTGCCGCCTCGGTGCAAAGGTGGGCACTTGGACGCAAACTTCTCCCATTGCGCTGCGCAACCCTCTACACAAAGAGCGCAGCACCCTTGGTCTTGTTCGCTGTGGTCGGCTGTTTGATCTTTGTTCGTAGAGGCTATAGACGGGCCGCCTATCTTGCGAACAGCAAGTACTTCGTCACAGGATCCACAGAGGCAGGAGAGAGAACAGCAGAAACGGACTTTGAGACCTTTTTTGGCGGATCATGCGCAGCAAAGCTGCGTATGCTTGCTTGCGTTTGTGCTGTACAGGAATCGCACATCCACCTCTTCTCTGTTCATGGCAAGAAGATTGGCTGCGTGGACCTGCGAGGTATGCTTCAGGCCCGGGAGCTGTAGAATGAAGTCGATCAAGTCGGGAGCTGTAGAATGAAGTCGATCAAGTCCCCGTTTAGAACGCGGCTATGTGGAAATGTTTCCTCGTGTTGCTGACATACACCAAGTGAATGAACGGCCGCTTCCGGCCCCAACACCAAAAAATGCACATCCCCTCCCCAACAAAAACAATCTCTCAAGCCCAATAGCAATAAACGACACATGCACCGGCCCCAGCAGCAACAACAAGTATTCCTCTGCCCGGCCGCATCAGTAAGAAGACATCCGCCGCCAGCTGCAACAGCAAAAAGGACAGCTCCCCTGCCACGACAGCGCAAACCCCCCCACCGGCCCCGCAGCAAAAAACTGAATACCCCCTCGAAGCAACAGCAACCGCGCAACACTGTTATTTGGACGTCCCTAAAGCACTGGTGCAGGTCCGGGCCTCGCCGCTGCGCAGCTACACAGAGCCCATCCGTGGGACGGCACGCCAAGGGTGTAGTCAGTGTAGTCCTTCATAATCGATTATGGCCTCTTGTAATTATGTATATATATATATACACATGCATGCATACATATGTATACATACATGTACACACACACACATATTATAGTAAAGGATGGGAGTGGGTCGGCAGAGTAGACGAGAGCGTGCATCCTGTGAGGTATGCCTCGAGGATGCCGACCCTCAAAGTGGGTCGACCTGGCTCGGATTGCCAGGCGTTTTTTACCTGAAGACAGGCTGCAGATCTGCAGTGAATCGCACATACTGGGCATGCATTCGTATAGTACAAAGCATGTTGTATATTATGGTATATTAAAATATATCATAGTATGTTATTATATAGTAGTCATAGTCTATCATCATAGAACATTATAGAATATAGCAGTATATTATTCTAGTAGATTATAGTACAGTATGTTGTTGGTGGGAAGTCTGAGGCACAGCCACGACGCATATTCGACACCAGATGATTCCCGCGAGCTGGCAAGAAGAAAGCAGAATCCGGACCAAACCCATTCTGTAATTGGCTTCAGCGAGAGACCTGCATCTAGTCTAAGCCTTTATTTGAAGCGATGATCTTGAAGTTTGAGGGCCGGGGACAAGCAGGGTTTGTGTTATCCAGGCTTCGCAGGTTCACTTTGCAAGCCGCAGTGGTGTGTCGAGTCTTCCTTCAACCTTATCCCTGGAAGAGGGGGCCAAGATGCGTGGGCCAGGTCAAGCCGCCTTGGCCACGAATATGTCCAGTCGCTTCGAACACATCCGGCGCTGAACTCGGAACAGGACCTCTGCCTTTTCCGAGTACAAGAGAGGGGAAGCATCAGAAAGCTGGCAGAAGTCTCGGTAAGGTCATTGAGAACCGTGTCGGGGTGCTGATGGCCATGCCTCAGGCAAGCAACAGCAGCATTCATCTTTCAGCTTGACTTGCTGCAGACTTCTCATTTTTCCTTCCTGTTGAGGCTGTTGAGTCACACATCGTTCTCTTGGACCTGGACTGCAAAGAGGTTGAAGCGTGAGGCAGGAGCGCCCTGCGGCTGAAGTAGCGCAAGCCAAGACTGTACAGACATCCTTCTTGGCATGGCAACAACTCTTTGATGGACTTCGGTCACGCGGGTGGCGTAAAGGCAAAGTTAGGAGCCATCGCCGCCGCGGGGGCGAGTTTGAAGCCGTGCCAGCTGTGCTCGATGACAGCAGGATACTCGGCACACCACTGTCGGAGAGAACCATATACATATAACCCCGACAAGAAGGCACACCTGCAAGAAGTAGCTCTATGTGCGGTCTCTCCCGACCCTTTTTGAAAATTCGCACAGGCTTTCCCCAAGGAAGCGGCTGCCAATTTTCAAGCCCCAGGAAATCATGTGGATTGCCTCCGGGCATGAGCCGCCATAGCTGCACAAGGCTGTATCGTTGCGGCTCCTCAGTATTGTGACACTGCGGCCGCTGTCCATCCAGGTGCTCCGTGTTGCTAGTTTTCCTTTGGCAATTGCAGCTGTAGAACTGTCCGGATTGCACTCGGCTGCACCTGAAGATGTGAGCTTTTCAAGCTGCGAGTTAGGCTCCGGTGCTTTACAGTTACGGATCTTCGCATGCTGCAGGTTGGAGCATGATGTACGTCGCTCGTTTGGTCAGACCTCATCTTGATGGGTACTTATGAGGGTATGATTCGGGTAGTATAAGGGAGTATAAGAGGGTACTTGGGCTACGATGTAGTGTTAACAACAAGGGAGGCACCGGGGCAGTGAATTCAAACTGGGAAGACATGCGGAGGGCCTCCGGTTCGGACCGCGCCGCTCTCCTGGTATGCATTGAAACGGATCGGTGCATGGTTCAGGGTTTAGGACTTAGGATATAGGGTGTAGGGTGGGTGAAGGAGGGAAGGGCGATTCTCATGAACCTGGTTCTTACGTGCTCGCATCATTCCTCGCTTGGCTCAAGGTCTGGGAAGGGAGCTGTGCTTGTATTCGCAGAGCATGCGCCCGTGCATCTGGCTAGCATTTATTCCTAACGCTGAGTCTTCAGTAGGCTGAAGGCTGCGGCCCATGAAGGTTTGACTTCTGGCATTTCGGCACGATTTGGCGAGCATGTAGCCGCATGTTAGGGCAAAGATTCCGCGCTCGGCTTATGAAGGCCACGGAGGCACGCGATAAGATAAAAATGACTGTGCAGTGTCTGCGAGAAGTGCACGCCCGAAAGGTTCTGTACTGCAGATCTCATGTCAATGCACCTCAACAGCATTCCTGCCGGACGTGGGTGGAAAGCTCTCGTAGCTAGTGGGACTCTACATGATACGGGAAGTGTTGCGGTCCTGCGCCCCTTTCACACCTACGGGGCTATAACCCTGAAGACTTGCGTCTATTCAACCTGTGACCTGGTTGCAAGGATGCGTTCGAACTTGCCTCAGTCGCGCCTGCGTGCGCCCGGGTGGTCTGGCAGGCGGGGCCAGCAAGGCAGGTACCAAACCAGGCGGGATGCTGACTCGGCCCACAGGCAGCCTGCAGTATCCCATACCCTCCACCGACTTGTATTAAGCGATCGGATTGTCACCTCTTGTGGGGCAGGTGGCCGAGCTCTCCGTGTGGACCTGTAGTGCGGGTCCTGGGGTAAGCCGACAGATGCAGATTGTGTCCTGGAGTCTTGGGTTGATGGTTTGAAAGGGAACATTTCGGGGTTTGGTTTGAGGGCGCAGCCCTGTTACTGTTGTCTGGTGTGTAAAACTGCGGAATCTGCTCCATGCAAACCCTCGAGTCAATCACCCCGCGTTGCCCAGGGGAAAGGCGAGATTGAGCCCCAAAGTGCAACGCAAGGCATGGGGGTTGCAGGGGTGCTGATTAGCCAGCTGCTGCTCTTTTCTGGAGTTACTTGTGCCAGGGTCTTTTGCTTGTTGGCAAACTGCGCGTCATCTGAAGTCCGCACAGTGAAGGCTCTTCGGGCGGCGCGGCTCAGAGGCGGCAATCTGCTCGGCCCTCATGCACGGAGACGGAGAGCCTTCGTTCCGAAAGTCATGGCTATGTTCTGCGCATTCCTGCGTGCAGGCCCCCGATTTGCGGCCAGTGCCTCAATTTGCTTGAGGAGTCAGCTGGCCAGGATGAGGGCTTGTGCGGTCGGGAGGAGTTCTCATCCAATTCCTTTGGATGCGCAAGGACGGACTGGGCATCCCAGCTGCATGGTATATATTTTCTTCAAAGTCGTCGGGGATCAACTTCTGGAAATGTGAGGGGTGAACATTGGTTCATTGGCTACTGTTTTTGCAAGAGCTTTGAGTAGCAACTGCAGCTAGTTCTCTGCTTCCTGCGGCTGCTGTCCTTTTGATGATGGCGCCCATGATGGTGCTGCTGATGATGCTGCTGCTGACACCGATTTTACGACGATGTGGCTGATCTTTGTATTGGTGATGTGTTGGTTGGTTCCCATTGTGTCACGTTTCTACCACAAGGCCGTGCGGCCAGTTCGAGGTAGTCGTCGTAGTCTCAGCAGTGGTCGTCGTCGCAGTGGTCGTGGTCGTGGTGCTGGTGGTTGTGGCGATGGTGGTGGTTGGGTGACGGTGGCAGTGGTGGTGGTAGTGGTAGTGGTACTGCTGCTGGTGGTGACAGCAGCAGTGGCAGTAGGAGCAGTGGTGGTGGTGGTGGTAGTAGTAGTAGTAGTAGTAGTAGTAGTAGTAGTAAGTAGTAGTAGTTGTTGTTGTTGCAGCAGCAGCGGCAGCAGCAGCTGCAGCTCGTGCTGACCATGGCTTTTGCACACGGTATGTCAATGTAGGTTTCTTTTTCTTCATCCTCAGCAGCAGCATCTTCTGTCGTTTGCACAATATGGACCTTCGGAGTAGAAGCATGATACATGATACTTTTTGATAGAGAACTCAGGATCCCGACGCAGCGGAAGCGACAGTCAGTACCAACCTCACCGGCCTTCAAAGCTGGGCGCAAGGCATCGTCCGCCTGTGTTTGCCACAGTTTCATCAGAATCAGAAGACGCTGCAGAGTTTGACTGGCATGACGATATTCCGTGTACGCAACTATGGTGTGTGGGCATCCACTCGTGGTCTGATTACTGTCTGCTGTAAGTCAGGCTCTTGTTCGCACTGCCCCTGAACGTTCTGACGCGACAAAGCATCCTTACTTCAAAGTCAACACTACCTAGTCTTGGAGTGTTAGTTACCAGGTACAAACTATCCCTCGCTGCCCGTGGTGGTTCCCTGTGTTAAACCCTTGTATGTGACAAGCACAAGGATCACTCGGCTCGCCTTGCACATGTTACCAGGTGTACCAGATAGCTGAGTTTCCCTTTACAATTTCCGAAGGGTGTGCTCTCCGTCCAGCGTTGCGCTGCGGATGCGATGGGCAGGTTCTGGGTTTCCCGACGAGAGCACAACCGCGACCGACGGTGGCGAATCACCACGAGCATCAAGCCATGTCGCCCTGTGGGGCAACTTTGCTGCTCACCTTCGGTAAAAGCTCATGAGCCGAGGTCTGGTTCGCGCGCTTCTAGACTGGCGGTGCGGGTTTGCACAGTCGCACACCACGTGCCCCACAGCAGGCAATGGCTTCTGGCGAGTAGAACCGCTTGTATCTGGATACACCTTTCCACATCGCGAAGCCCGGAATCACGGCGAATGGCTGCACTTGCACTTGATGCCAGAGCATTTGAGCCTCTAAAGATGATGGCACGCAGATTCGGGCACATCTTCCATAGTGTACTTGGGAAGTGTGCGGTCAGCTTTCGGGCACATGCATCCCTGATATTCTTCCTGGTTCGAAAACGGAACGCTTCCTTCATATTCATAGTGCCGGCTGGTCAAGTGCGGTAAACCTGAGCGCGATGGTCTGGCACGCCACTGACGTCGGTCACATTCGGTGACACTGTTCCGGGAAAGCCACGGCAGCCAGAACCCAAAACCCGATTCTCTCAACACGCGACAGCTTCGGCAAGAAACCTTCTTTCACTGACCAAGAGGTGCGATCAGTCCTGACGTTCTGCTTGATGGCGGCCGTTGTTGCTAGCTGCTGGTTGCATTGCACGAAACGAGTCAAGCTTCGACAGGGATGCCGAGGTGAGGGACAAGGCTCAAGGACAATGGGCAATCCGAACAGCCTAGTCAGCATCACTGGGGCCTATAGAGAACACTCCAGGCAGAACTCAACGACAATGCCTGTTGGCTCACGCCTGTGATTTGCATTGCATTCGGCCACACTTGCGTGGGCGTCTTGAGTACCGCCGGCGATTCGACCTTTATCGTGGAGAACGGCGCATCGCCCCAGAGCTGTGTATTGTGTTGCTTGGCCGCGTTCCGCCCTCAGGTAGACCGTACCCGAGGCCCTAAGCCATCGCTTTGCAACCAGCAGAGAAACGGCAAGCAAAACACAATGCATCCGGCATTGACGATGATGCACATCCGGTGGTGCGACAGTTGGTGCGGCTCCAACCCCTGCGAACCCCATGCGTCCCCAAATATGCCGCATCATCCGCTTTCCAGGCACGTGGCTGAGCATGTTATCGACAACTGTCGCACACCATTGGTGGCACAGCATTCTGCTTCCTGATGCGTGCGTGGAGAGAAGAAAAGCTCCATGCCAGCTGGCCTCGATAATTGAATTCAACCAGTTGCGATGGTGGCAGGCCACAAGAGCCAAAACAAGGCTCAACTCGCAGGTTCCGATTACCCAATTGAAGTGCGGGCGGATGCCGCAGCAAACTCCGCAGTGCGTACCTGCAGCCCAGGTCCGTCGTGTCAGTGGCACCTGCAGCGGAACGGAATGTCAAGTGTAACGATTCGCCGCGATGTCACACATCTCCAAGGCTCCCCAGCCTGGAATGTTGGATCCCATGGGCGGGGCATAACACCCTTGCGCAGTTGCGTTCTCCAAGCACGGAGCAGGAGATCAACCTCGAAATTGCATATCTCTCAAGTTGCCTGTCCTTTCAAGAGACTACATCTCACTAAGTGGGTTCGCTTAGTCGCATGGGGCGTTTATATAGGTTGTGCCAACAAACGGAAGGTGTAGAAACATGGTGGAAGCAC